CTGACGTCATCCCCTGCTCCTGTAAACCTCTCACCAGTAAAGACTACATCTCCATGATCGTCTCCACGTACGGGGAGTTCATCCGTGAGAAATTTATATTGTCTTCCGATTCCTTTAGATACTTGATAAAAGCAAAATACCTGACGGATCTTTATCTTGTGTCTGCTAGTTCCGTTACATTAATAACAAACTTGCATAGATACTGAGAATACGATCTTCTTCTTTTACGGTGGGGTTCGAGCAGTCAATCCTTGGGTGTAAGTTATAATCCAATTTTGTATGACGTTTACTTATAGCTTGTTATTTTTACCATAATTCTGTCAGAAATGCCGATCAACCTTCTCCTGGTGGACATAATCGGGCGGAAGCTGACCATGACGTTGAACCTGGCCCTGGTGTGTACGTTCTTCATGCTGCTGAACCTGTGCACGTCTGCTGCCTGGACCACCTTCTTCGTCTTTGCTGTTCGCGCCTTCATCAGTGGCGCCTTCAGCATGGTGTACATCTACACAGTGGAGGTGATACAACTTCTGCTGCTCTGATGTATAACGTGCTTGCTTTGTGATGAGATTCCTGATTCAAGTACTGCATAGCATTGGAATGAAATATACATATATTTCAATCATCAACTGACAACCCGCCGTACGACCAATTCCTTTTGTGATGGACACTTTTATTCACTACGTATTCATCAAAATCCTAAGGCCAGGTCGAATGCCTAAATCTGTCAAATTGAGAGGAATTCACTTATAAAAGTTGACATTTTGTGTTCTTTTGTTTTCTCAGTATTTCCCAACCAATGTCCGAGCTCTTGCTATCGGGACATGCAGCACAGTCGCAAGGGTAGGAGCGATGACTACCCCCTTCATTGCACAGGTCAGATTTTTATATACAACAACTTGTTCTTTGTATCTTTCGCTTGTAAACACTCCTCCCATAGATCAGGTCTTAGAGATATTTGATATAAAATAATTGTTAAAATGCGTTTTTTATTCGTAGGCATAACGCTACAATTTAATGCCAGGTTTACAAAACCGCTTTGACTTCCTATTTTGACAATCTAGCCAGGTTACTGTAGTTTAGATAACCCTATTATGTCTCCAGCGTCTGTTCTGCATGTTGAAGCATATCGATGTCCCCAGGTTTTACTGAACTACTCCTTGTCTCTGGCGCTGTACGTGTACGGGGGGCTGGCCGGCTTCTGCTGTCTGGTAGCCTTGTTACTGCCACAGGACACCATGGGCAGAAAACTGCAGGTATCTTATGTTTGTAAACCATTCATGACCCATTCTTTCTCTTGATATGACAGTGTATACTATACAGCATACATTTCCTAGTACCACGGTTCACCAACAAAGATGGGTACGAAATGTCTTTTTAAGTTACCTATTGCTTGTCTTCTGTCAGTGTAATAAATGAACAAACAATCTCAAAATTGCTTAGCTATCTATGTATCAGATACTGTTTTGTGGATTAATCTATTCTATATCTTTTCAGGATGATGTACATGTGGTTTCCACAGATCCCCAGCAGCCCAGAGAAGAGGCTGCCTGAAGGACATGTGTTGGCAGCGGTTCAGTTCATGAGGGATGGTGGTGTGACTGTACTAATCATTTTATAATGGTGTTCAGAGTCAGTTGTTTAAAGATGACAAGCTAAATCAAAAATTCAAGCTTTGAAAGATCCATGTCATATTTCTGTACAGAGGCAAAAGCTAATATTGAGGTATATCAAAAGGTACTTATTTTACATTGGTCTAAAAGTCTCAGGGAAAATGGCAGATGTACATGTATTTTATTTTTAAAAAAAGTTTAAAATAAGGTTCAAATGGGATGGCTGGGATGGATGCACAGATCTAAGGAGCACAATGTACATATCATGAAAATGTGCAAATTTTAATAATGGTTGGTGTATGGTTATTTCCAAACATATATTTTGTGGTATGTTTAATACCTTTGCCTGATGTCTCCATAGTCTGACACAACAGATAAGATTAAAATAAGGTATAAAAACAACTGTCTGCTTATTTGTTTTGTGTAAGGTTGTTTTGAGAATATTCTTGGTACATGGTATACGCCTGTTCACTGATGATGCCTCAAATCAGTCAATGATACAGAGACCTAATATGTACAGCAACTGTTTGATACTTGAAATCATTACTACATGTTTGTACAGACAAACTAGACTTCCTCCCCCTCTCCAAAGTTCTCCAGATCATCCACAGGGTTTTCCTGCACCAAGACTTCCCTGTTCTCATACGTCCAGAAACCGTTCAGGTCAATCAGGATGTTGGTGACCGTCTCACCCTGACTGCTGTTGATGAGATCCTGTAGCGTGATCTTCAGCGGGTCTGCCGGCTTCACCATGTCAAAAATCTCGTCCTTCACATCCTCGAACGAGACCGGCTCCTGGCCGTGGATCTTCATCTGTTCCTGGATGGCTCGGAAGAAAGTGTTCAGGGCGAAAATGTTCAGGTAGTTGCGGTTCTGGATGTCAAGAAGACGGAAGATGTACTGCAGAGCTTGAGGTTCCTTCCGATTCTCCATGGCCAGAACAAAGTCCAGGTACGTCTTGTAGTCCATCTCTCCATCATATGTGAGGCATTCTTGGAAGACTCGGTTGAGGAAGACGGGAGTGAGGGTGCCTGTTCCGTAGCGGGAGAGCTCTTCCTTACTCAACATACCATTGTGGTCCTTTGAGACAGGATAAATAAACAACATATGTCAATACAAATAGGAATTGACACAGAATATAAAATCAAGAAACACCTACTGGTATCAGATGTTACTGTGTTGATTTTGTATACTTGTCATATAAAGTGCCATCTAAGAAACTGCTGAGCCTGTCAATTAGAGCTTAGAACATACACACAACTCATGTATACCATACAACACCCCTCACCTTGTCCAGGTTAAGGTACTGTCCGTACACACGGAGTGCAGAAGGTGCAGAGAACCAGTTGGACTCCTGCATCTCCTTGGACAGATCCTCATCTCGTAACTCCAGCAGGTCATCCAGAAAACTGCAGGCCAGGATGTCCTAAATAATATAATTTTAACATAACATGGTAATCTTTATCAATTCATATGTTTGGTACATTTGTCATATTTAGATATGTAGGTCTTCCTGTTACTGCTATGACTGCAGTGCATGTAAAAATGATGGAATATACATGTAGACAAGGCTCTGGCCAGCTTGAAATGTTTTTCTGTCAGTGCTTGCAAAATTTTGGATTTTGAAGCCTTGAAAAGGCAATTTCTTGCATTTTGAGAGGCAAATCATGGGGTTGAGAGTGGTTGGTGGTGGTCCTATGGATGTTTTTTTTTAAATAATTTTTTCCCAAGACTTTTTGTCAATTTTGTCAGTCAAGGTTAACGGTTTGGTTGAAATTTCCTGCAATTGACGGAAAAACAGGTACTGGCTAGAGCCCTGGATATACAGGGCAGTACAGTGACCTGGATCTTGATGCGGCCTGTCCTGAGAGGATCCAGGAAGAAGAAGAACTTCCTGACAGCTGTGCAGACGTAGAAGGAGTAGAAGGATTTCTCCAGCCCATCCAGCTGGGGCAGGGTGGGGATCAGCTCCAGGATGTAGTTCTCCAGGTCCGCTTCCTTCAGGTAGCCCTGGCCAGCCACATCGTACAGACTCAGGCCAATCCTAGTCTGGTGCAGCCATACCTGACAGTAAGAACACAGCACATTAGTACAAATATACCGCAGGTCTGCTTCCTTCAACTGACATTTGTGCACAGACCAAGGGTCAGGCTGATCCAAGACAGGAACAGCTGGGTATTCATACAAAAGCTTTACAAAAGAAGATCTCTGCACATGATCCTGCCTCACCTTTCTCATGACGTAGTTGAAGAACTGCATGATGGAGATTCTGCCATATGGATCCTTCTGCAACAGCTTGGCAAACACTGTGGCTGTGAAGTACGTCTTACACTTAGGCCCTGCCTCCAGGGATACCTGGGACAGTAAAGCATAACACAAGTGTAAAACAATAAGTCAAGTGGGCTCTAATCACAAATATCTGATTGTTTTTCTGTCCTAATCACCATTCATACTATCAGCAAGCTAAGTATTGTTTCAGAAAGTTGTCTGAACTGTTAACTGTTTAAACACTTGTTGAAGAAAAGTTAAGTAGTGAAAAATCAAAACATGTTAAGTGTTTGCAACTACAATGTACTAGTACCTTGAGGAAGTCCTCATAGTTGATCATTTTCTCGTCGCCCATGAGTGGAGGTGTGTGGTGCTTGTCCAGGAGGAACCACAGGCTCTGCAGCTCATCATTGTCTAACAGCTGTCTGCTCCTTCTCTGGAGGAATACCTATCATAGCAATAAACAAACAGCACTTCAACAACATCGTCATTATTAATATTTGTATACAGTGGCATTGTGTGGCATAATGGTAGGGCGTTTGGGTCAATTCCACCTTCATGCCCCAACGTTGCGTCCTTGAGAAAGGCACTTTACACAACTTTCCTCACTTCACACAGGTGAAAATGAGTACCTAGCTTTGGTTAGGGATGTCCCTCAGATAGGACGTAAAAAGGAGTTCCCTTGTTTGGGAAGAGCCGTGACCACACGCACGTTAAAGAACCCACCACACCATGGCCTGGTGTGCCATGGTCCAAATTCTACAGCCCTGTTATACAGTGTAGCAGAATCATCAGCAAGTTGATGTTAGCTACCTTACTTTCCAAAGTGATGTTGTAGTCTATAGATTACTTACTGCTCTAGATTCTTCCCTCAGTTTCTGCTGCAGAACTTCATCTTCTGCTGGCAACTTGAAGTAGAACTTGGGGATGGACTTAAAACTCTCATGCTGAAAAAAATATGCCACAAATAGTCAAAAAACATAGTTTTATAATACATTAATACATACTTTTTCTGGACAACCTAAAGGTATTAAGAATAACTGTAATCATGGTACTAAAAACTGTTCTTGCTTGTCAACAGAAAAGCAATGGACTTGAAAGATCTATTACGACTGGTTTTATGATGTGATTTCAGAAGAGAGAAATTACTGAGAAAAATCATGGTTCGGTCTTTAGAAGACTGTCAACATACTGTGTAAATGACAAAATAGAAAATTCTCACTTTAGAACGTATGATTAAAAAAAATTATCACCTGTTCGAGGCAGTAATGGACTTCGTGGTTTTATCAGGCACCCTTTACTGTATGGGTTCACTTCAAGCAGAACAAACAACCCAAAACAACATCACTCACTGACACGTACAAAAACACCCACCAATCAGCAGCAATTCTTCCCTGCCTGGCAGTTGGGGTCAGTACCCTCTAGTCTTTCTGAAGCTTAGTAGTTAGTAAATAAGATCAAAACAAACAAACAACAAACCTCACACTTCCAAACATCCACATTACAACACCCACCTGTTGTGAGGAGTTAGCCCCTACCTGACGGTTGGGTTGGACACCCTTCCACTGACAGTACAACTCAGTAAACAGCTGTGTCTCTTCTGACCGCTTCTCCTCTTCTGATCTTGTTGGCTTCCCAGCAACATGGGCCTTTAGGGCTTTCTTCCAGTCCATCTTTAAGTTAACAAACCAGAAGTATGCGTGATATGATCATCTCTCACTGGTTCAGACAGTACTACCAGTACTAGCCGTGGCGACTTGCTAAGCCTTTTGTATGTATATACTGGCTACCGGTAGCCATACGTATAAATACATGTATGTATCCGATTGACCGTACCGTACCCCCCTCCCATGTATACTATAGCATAGGTAAGCTAGATCACTGCAAGTAAAATTATGTCACAGAAATGACAGAATGCCCCAACGCAACAAGATGTATGGAAATTGTATTAACAACTAAAGTCTTCTACGTACCTTAGAGCTACTACCTTTTCGATAAAGTCTTCAAACAACACACAAAGCACGAAAACTCATTAGAACTTCGAGGATTTCGTTGAATCGGCCGCCATTTTGATTCCGTTGACAATGTACCAGGGAACATCTCATTTCATCAAAGGTAAGTTCTACGTTTTGGCAAGATATTAACGAGTTGCGTAACATTAGACCAAGATACCAAGTAAAGACGATTAGTTAGAGCCAGAAAGTTGATTAATTTTGGTAAAGCTACAAATTCTTTGATCTTCAAGTTACCAGCAAAAAATAGCAGTTGATACTCCACCCCTACAATTGGGTAGAGTAGACTCTTCCGGCCAACATGGCCGCTGCGGTATCTCAAAATGGAATGGAGAAAATTTCGGACGAAATTGTGCTGCATATCCTGCAATTTCTTCCGTTAGATGACATCTTAAATGTGCAGCGAGTGAGCAGGAGGTTTAGCGGAATATGCCAGGACAAAACACTTTGGAGGTGAAGCTTCCTTTCTTACAGACATACGTGATTCTATTTGTTGACTCCTGCTGTTTACATTTGAAAAGCAGACGACGTCGCTTGCACGTTTTGGATGGGGAGGGGGGCACCACATTTGTCACTCACTTGTCTCTTTTAAATGTAAATATAAACTTTATGCATGTAATTGTATGATGATGTATTGTAATTTTTTTATGTACTCTACCCTCTCCTGGAAGAATAGCTGTCACCCACATGGCGCATGGGCAGCTAAAGTAGAGTTGCAGTTGTTCCACAATAAACCGCATTAAACATTACAATATAACGTTACTACAATTAAACCTGTTCTACATCTGTTGTATTCGATAGTATCATAACCTTCACCAAAAGGATAGATTCGAAACTTTTCCATATCATATTTTGCACTATTTGGAGTAAAGTTATTATAATAAACATTCTTTACAAATTTCCTGTCTTTCTCAGGTCTACAGAGTTGAGGTCTTGTTACGGGTTGTCAGACGACCTTCTTAAGAACGTCATCAGTCACCAAACACTAAATATACTACATCTCAGTCTCCATGGCTGCTATTGGTTACACTCCACGGCCCTCGAGGTGTTGTCACGATGTGTGAACCTCCAGACACTGGACCTGTCTCACTGTCGGGTCACCACAAAATGCCTCTCCAAAATCTTATCAGCTACCAAAGAACTGCGCTGCCTTGCCTGGGACGTCGAGGGGGGTTTCCGGCCATCATTCCTCAGCCAGGAATGTAAGGAGACACTGAAGAAGCTGAAAGTCTTGAAGCAGGTCTACCCATTTGAAGTCCACCAGGACCTGTTTGGAGTCCTGACATTCTGTCCGGCCCTGGAAAGGATCTACTTGCTAGGCAATGTGCAGCTTTCCAACGTAGCGTGTTGGACATACAACCCTCTTGAAGAAGATCAAGCAGCTGTCTCAGCAAGTAACCTGAAGGAGCTGGTCTGTTATGGGTTTGAGAACTCTGAAGTGGCATCCTCTGTGTTTAACCTGCTGACAGGCTCCATGAAGCAGGGGGATCCCCAGCCTACTCTCCACTCCTACTGTATCAGCGGGGGTCCGTTTGTAACATACGAGAAGGCAGTGGGAAGCTATGCACAGGCATTTGAGCCGTTTAAAACAGACCTGCTGCAGCTTGATTTGTCGTCTGGGCGGGAGGGAATATGCTCCATCTCGGATCTACAGAAAACGAAGAACCTGCAGTTCTTGAGACTGTCATACAACTTCTGTCTCCATAGTTACGACCTGATAACAGTTTCCACAGTATGTCAGAACCTGCGGGTGTTAAACCTGATGGGGTGCAGGTACTGCTTCAGTGTAAGTCTGTTATGTTGTGTTATTGTCTTTCTCTAAAAGTGTATTATTTTTATTGAGAAACCTGCCTGGTAGTGAAAAGTTTCTGCATGGAAATTTTATCTTAATTGTCATTTTTACTTCAAGTTAAGTCTTCACTTTAGTGAAATGCGCAGACTTGTACTTCCAGGCACACTTCCCTGTATCTGCCTCAATCGAACTTACAGTATCACTTTTATGTACAGAATATGTAACCACTGTGATTTCCCCAGTGTTCAGAGAGGTTTGACTGGGACCTGAGCGGTCTGGAGGCTGTAGCTGAGAACTGCCCACATCTCCACAGCCTGAACCTGAGTGGTGCTCACCACTGCAACTCCTTTGGTTGCCCCAATGTCTTCCCTTCTGATGGCTTGGCAGACACCATAGCCAAGATGAAAGGTAACTTTTCTCAAATCATATATGTATTGTACTTTCACATACAGGTACTAGTACATGTACTTTGTTGTTCAGCAATGTTACAGATGCTGGTTAAGGGCCATCATAGAATTCAAGCAAATAAAGTTCTGATAGTTTTGTATCGTTAGTGTCCAAGCCATACACATGGTGTACTTTCATTACAGGCATACGTATTGCCAATCATGATATGCGTGGTATACAAACTTCTTATTCCAGGGCTGGTGAGCCTGTCCCTCCCCGCCTGTTCAGTGGGAACTTCCAAGAAGTCCAAGAAGTCAAGAATTGATCCCTTGTATCCAGGAAATGGACCCAGGCCTCAGGTATAGGATACCTGTTGAATACATGTACTATCATGTTCTGTATGTGGCTACAATTACACTTTCATTCCTTCATTTATTCATTCATTCACTCACTCACTCACTCACTCACTCACTCACTCACTCTTTCACTTCTTCCTCAGTCTTATCATGCATAAGCTTGTTTTCTCTGTCATTTGAAAGCAAAGTACATTACAGAATACAACATTGCAGATTTTAGATCTTTGATCAAAACACAATACTAGTACATTCATGGAAAGTACATGTACACACACACACTCCTGTATATGCCAACTGTATTTGAATCTGCATATGTCCTAGTCCATCTTTGAACCTGCTTGTTTTATGTCCATCTACTACAGACCTCATCCTCCAGGACATCCCACTACAGCAGAGCAGACCCACAGGTCCTGAACCTTTGGAAGATCGTCCATGGCTGCCCCCTTGTGGAGGAGTTTGAACTGCTGGGTGTGGGCTTTCACTCCCAACTGGTCCACAAGGCTTTACATCTCAAGTTGGAGAGGGACAAGGGAGGCTTCTTTATTTACAGACCATGGTAAGACATTTACCTAAATCCCTGCCAAGATATGTATGTATAAGCCTTATTTTGTCTGGTACATATAATCCTGTTATTATCTTTGTCCATGAACCCTGTAAGATGTTTTTTTGCCATCTCTCTTAGCCATACCATTAAATGTGGCGGCTGATAAGTTTCATAATTAAAAATCGCCTTAAGTCCAAGTATCCTTTTCTAATTATAAGTCCTGCCTGTTGCAGTGATGATGTGAAGTCCCGGATGAAGGATGCTGACCTGTCGTGTATCTGTGAGTGGAGGAAGCTCCGTAAGCTGACCCTGGGTGGGTTGCCAGGGGTGATCACAGGTGAGTTCCTGCAGACCCTCCCAGAGAAGTGTCCAGCCCTGCGGCACCTGTCCCTGGCAAACCTGGGTCCCACCGGACAGTGCATTTACTCCAACAACCTGCTGTCTGCACTGACAAGGATGCCACACTTACAGGACTTCAGGTTGGTGGACTGAAAATACTGCAGCTGGTTTTGTTTATAGAGAGATAACAGTTTGTTACAGTTTCACAGGACTGTGCACTATACTCAGAATGAACTAAATGTTTTGTTAGAAAAGTGTATCAGAATGATGTCAGTTCATCAGTTAACCACATGTCTGACTGACTTATATCCTCTTTCATTGCACATTAACTTTTCTCTAGTAACACAAGTTTGATATGCATTAAAGTAATGGTTTTGTTATTTCAACAGATTTGAGCAGCCAAACTTTAACATAGCCTGGAGTTTCCTGGAGGCTCTATACAACTGCAGGGACCTACAGAGACTGTGTGTGGTGGCCAGGAATGGGGAGTAAGTGGTGAACATTGTAGGGATACAATACACACACTCTGTCAGCTGTAAGGAGCAGATGTACACTATAAAACTCATCCGGTGGTGCTGAAATGTAATGCCAGTATAAATTAGTACAATCATATGTACATGTACTGTAGGATGAAGGAATTCTGCAGTAATTCTGTAAATTATGAATACTCGTTGACCCCTGACTGTGTTGTCACGTCAGGATGTGGTGATTTAAGTTACAACTGATCACATCTCTTTTCCCTTGATTTCAGGATCGATCCTCACCTAACACTGAAGCTATTTGAGGAGGTAAGGAAACAAGGTACTAGTTATAACAAATCTGAATGTCCCAGATTGACTGAATTATGTAGTGTAAATACAACATGAACCCTAAGACTTCAGTGTTATATTTACAGTGCAAACGTCTGGTTGTGTGCCAGTTGTTCACCATGGGACAGGTCTTGGCCAGTCACAGATTGCAGCAGGTTATCAAACAAAGGTTGGTTTACATCATCATTTGGTTCTTTCCAGCACAATGAAAAGTTTAAACATTGCATACAACTCTGCATACCATGTAGTATCACTACAGTAGTAATTGAGAAAACATGTTAAGAGACTGTTAAAGATTAACTTCTGATTGCCTTTTTCTTTTTAACTACTTTTTTGTCTTCCATCTGAGTGAATTTCTTTCATAAATATGTAATGAATATGAAGAAAAAGCATTTGGCAACACTTTCTTTTCAATGGTATTTTGCTAGATACCAGAGTGATCGCCCAGCGCTGCATGTGGCTATTCAACACCTGCTGATGGAAGACAGCCGCAGTCTGAGTCAGCTCATTCCCATGGTGCACCTGGAGGAGTTTACCATGTACAAGTCGCGGGTGGGGGAGCAGCCTTTGGAGCTGGATAAATGTGGAATCATGAGTCTAAAAGTCAGCAGGCTGAGGTGTCCATTCGCAGCTGAGTGCTGATGGGCAAAGCACCAATTTTATACCTGCCTCAAGTCTGAATCTTGGCAGTGATGCAGTGGTTACCAAAACTGCTACTTAACTGCTCCGTTGGTGCCATGTTGGAACATAAAGTCATAGACTTAATGATTTTTTAACCAATGGTGTTAATTAGAATGAATTGCTTTTGTACCTTGATTTGCAGTCTTGATCAGCATTTGTTGTCAAGAGAATTACATACGATATTTCATCAATGTATCATTCAGAATGTGGGTAAGCTTATGTATAATTTTATTTATGTACTTGACAGTGCAATCGTGAGTAGTTTTCCCACATTGAAGTCTGCGTACATGTTGTTGTCTGCAGACTGCATGTCATTATCTTGAGAAGGTTGTAGTGGGGAATGTTGTTTAACACAGATGGGGAGTGCATTGTTTGTAATCATGAGACAGTTACTACAATCATGAGGATGATCAAGTATACTGAAATCATTATCATGATCAAGTGTACTGCAATCATGTTGATTAAACTTTACTTAAATCATGTAGATGATCAGCTTTACTGCACCCATGTTGATGAAGATTATAGCAATCGTGTTGATCAAGTTTATTGCAATCATGTTGTGCAATCTATGAAGTTTTCTGCAGTCATGTTGATCAAGTTTATTGCAGTCATGTTGATGATCAAGTTTAAATTGAGAAGAAACTGAATGAGGACCTTATGATGGTAACTTTTGTTTAGATAGAAAAATTGAGTCCCAAGTCAGATTTTTTTTCTAAGAGACTGTATATTCTGAGGCAACTGGAGGACTGACCTGGGGATGCTAGAACTGTCATGTCCTTGGAGTTTGGAAAAATGAATAAACAATGGAAAACACTGGACTGACCATAGTTTATTGCTATGTTGTTGTGTCCTAATGGCCATATGTTCCACAAACATACTTGCAGACATGTTGTGACATGTTTATTATAAGTACCAGACATCACAAATGTATACCAACACACAGACTAGCAATGTACAATAGCCCTTAATACTGTTTTGCGTGAAATCTGTATAAAATAACCTCCATTGTCCAATACTTGATGCTGAATACAAAGTCTTAAATTTTGTTTCTGCTCTCAGTGTGCAAATGTAATCAGTTGTACAGTAATGTGACTTTGAGACATCAAATATTGCTATGAATGAACCACATTTTTTCAACTCTCTACAGAAGAATAAAACTTTCATAGTGAGAAAAGTATGAGAAACAATAATGTACCAGGAAGCACAAAAATGAAGTTTGAATCTGCAAAAAATAGAAGTTGCAAAACAGATAAATATTAGACTAAAACATCCATGTATGGGCAATAGACCAAAAGTTCCTTTATGTTCATATTTACATTTGTAGGTAAAAGACTTAGCAAAAACAAAGACTAGAAAATATACACTTGACCTAATATACATCAAGGTATAACTGATTGTTTTCATTTCACCCTATAGCCTAAACATTTAATAGCATTATTTTTTACAAGCTACAATGCATGGAGAACATTGATGAAGGTTAAGAATAGTCACCCGTGTTTGTTTACAGAGAATCTAAACGGACAGACTGGTGGCAGAAGTGATTAGTAATTCACTAAGTATAAAAGACAGTTTGTCAAAAAAATGCCTGACATAGTCCAACATCTATTCGCTCTTGAAGTTGAAGGCTGGGATAATTATCACTTTCCTATCAGGCCTTGCCACAAGTCTGAGTTCTAGACTAATACAGTAACTACAATGTACATGCAATTGGATATGTAATTAAAAAACATAAACTACTAAAAATATAATTACTGAGACAAATATTTTTGACCAGACATTTTCCTCTCTTGCCTGTGAGCTGGGGCTATGACAATATTCTTTTACAGGACCGGTGGAGTTCATGTAGATTCCGATAGATGTCTCCCATGTCGGGCAGAACTCCATAGCTCTCTTCATACACAGGAGCAGCTCCTGGTGAATACTGTTGGAACAAAGACAGAAATTGCGGTATTAATCACCATTTGACGAGCATCATTGACGTCATCATAATTATCATATGAATCTCGACAACCTGGTGTTGCAATATTGGCGGGTAAACTGAACAGGCATGCGCTGTAATACAGCATGGTGGATGTAAAAAGCCTCTATACTTGCTTTAGATTGTTGTTCGATAGACATGGGACTAAATATAATAATTTGCCACTGCCCCCAAACAAGAAGAAACCCCCCTTGCTCCAAAGAAGTCATCGAAGCGGCATGGAGTTAGTTCTCCCCATCTCAGGCCGAACACGGAAGCCTCCAGCCAGACCTTGTCTGGACGTCGTGTCTAGATCCACGTCTGGACGTCGTGTCTAGACCCACGTCTGGACGTCGTGTCTAGACCCACGTCTGGACGTCGTGTCTAGACCCACGTCTGGACGTCGTGTCTAGACCCATCACGTCTCGCCGTACGTCGGGACAGAGCGTCTGGGTATATACATGTAAGACCTGACGAGCAGACCAAGCTCACTCTCGTTGAGGGTATAGTTTTACGTCCTTGTGACTCATACTGCTATCTTGACTATCATCATCGTACTTTGTTTCGACTTGCTCTGAAGAGAATGGCGAGGATCAATAACACCGGTGAGCCAAATTATACTTCCAGTATTGTTCGCTACACAGTTTCATCTTGTCCATAGAACGAATCCCATCAACAGAAATCGTGACTTACTCATTCCGATTGATTAGGAATGTTTTCTGGCCTGGTGTCCAATCTATCTATATAGCTATCGCAGTTTGGGTCGGTACTCTTCGGGGCTGCAAAAGCTCTTCTACCGCCAGACTCAAGTATGCTCCCGGTAGGATATTCACGACGACAGTAGCAATCAGGGGCTAATCAATTACTCCTGTCGTAAAATATGCCCTAAAGGCGCAAAACTCCCATCGATCGGGAAGAAACTTCGAAGAGTGTCCACTAAAAGCGCGATATACCGAGCTCGAGTACTTCTTTAAGAAAGGAACACTAACTTCTGTCTCGTAAACAATCTTTACCATCGGAAAGGATCGAAGCCATTCTTCATATTGGTAAACAAAAGTGTAAATACTAGGTACTAGTAATAGATCGCTCCGCCAACTCTGTGAAGTTTCGTAGCGTAGAGTATTCGTTTAGTGTTTTATGTGTAGGCTTAAGCTTTTTGACCCGGGTTCAAATGCCAGCTTATGCTTTTCCTTTTTTCTGTAGCATATGCATTTTTTTCAACGATCATACTGTCGTACATTTGCTATTATTTACCAGCGCCATTTGCTGTACAGTGCCATCTTACTAGAACAACCCTCTCTCCCGTGCAGACGTGGAAGGTATTCGCGAAGACGTGGAAGGTATTCGCGCAGACGTGGAAGGTATTCGCGCAGACGTGGAAGATATTCGTGCAGACACGCATGCCTGTACTTACGGGCCACCGTACGATATCAGTAATTAATGGTGCTGCTCATTTTCGCAAAAATGTCCAAAGATTCATCGAGAAACAATACCTGTTTTTAGAGTATTACGTTTGTTTCAAGCGTTATCATAAGTATAACTGTCACATACAGATTCTATAAAGCCAAAGTTTCAATAGTGTTATATGTACCTGCATAGCCTGGCGGGTGACCTATGTTCCTCCTGTTCTATTCTGTACAGAACCTCCAGAGTGTGGTTAAACCTCCGCTGACACCGCGCCACATCCACCGCTATGGCCGTAGTGTTACACAGAGACTCAGTCGTCTTATTTTCTGAGGGAAAAGGATGACAGGTGACGTTACAAATCCGCCATATGTATCACTGATATGTGATGAAAGCTTCTTGATGTAACAAAACCACAGTGGAGTCACCTGAATGAATATGTGCTATGGCCTCGTACATTCCATAAATCACGTTGATAATCTCAATGATCACTCTCATTTTTCTTTTCTTTTCCAACAGTTATAACAAGACATGGCGACGGAAAACTCAACTTTCAACTCATTCTTTTGCCGCCACCAACGCAGGCAAAGAAATGGACGGACGGCAGTCATATCATTTTTACCTGAGTAAAGTGAGGAAATTCGTGTGATTTCCCAAGGGGACAAGATCGGTGACATGGCAAGATTCGAGTTCCGAGCCGAACGCTCTGTTGTTACGCCACACGACCCCACACTCTCAATCTGCACCCCCATTGGCTCTAAAACACGTTCGCTAGCCAGAACATGCAATTTTTCTTCCATCTTTCAGCAGATTACTTCTAACATTTGGCTGAGTGAGTAGACCTCTACCTCTAGTCCGTACATGAACCATCGCCTCGGCCTTGGCGGAGCCGAAGATGTTCTCAGCCTCACACTTGTACTTCCCGGCATCCTCTATCATGGCGTTGGGGACCAGGAGCACGTCATCCCGGATGTTCACCCCGGAAGGAAGAGCCCCGCCCTCCCTCTCCCACCGGATGTAGGGTCGAGGGGAGATTTTCACCAGCAGTTTGCACTCCAGCGCCAAATCCTCAAACTCTGTCGGGTTCTGTTTGGGGTGAGGGACGACATCGATGTCCTTGGCAAGAGGGGAAGCTGGGAACATAACATAAAATTTAGATACGATATCAAGGATGATATTATTGTTTTGTACTAAAATATTCTTTATTTTATTCTTTTATTATATTATTATCATTATGTTATTCGTTAGTTTACTATTTTCAGTATGATTTTGATTTGTGTCTGACTTACTTATAGTGACTGAAGTGGACATCATGGCCTGCGTGAGTGGGTGGGGGGCCTGGCAGGAGTACACGTCTCCTCGAGTTAACCTCTCCACCTGGAACAACACAAAAACGGCTATTACTTACTAGAAACCAATATTCTGATTCACGCGTTTGTTTCTATGTTTTTTGTTTGTTTTCTGTTTTGTTGAGAAAGTAAAACTTGAAAGTATCAGTTCCTCGCCTTCAGGAAGGAGTGAAACCCCACTAGGTCCCTGACCCGCTCCATGAAGCCGTCCGCCCGGACGTTGACCTGCCCAGCTAAGACAGGGATGCCGTTCTTGAACCAGGCCAGCTGGCGCCGGGGGTGGCCGAACGCCGTGGAGCAGGCGAGCATCAGGTCCTGCGTCTCGTTATTGTACTGCTCTGATATGACGATATCATCCGTGTAGCCTAGGAGGTAATGACATGTAATTAAAATTAGGCTTCATAGGATCTACATGTAAAAATTTGTCCAAAACTTAACACGTGCAACGATTTGTATGGTATTTCTTAACTTTCTATTGGATCCCTGCCGTCAGTCCTTACCAGAAAGTCATTCTCTCTTTATAATTGGTGAATTTTACAACATTACATGGTCCCAGTTCAGGTTCATCCACCCTGCAAGTACGCAGGCATGGTCTGTCCTTGGTGCTGAAATCCAGCTCCAATGGTTGCGATTGTTTGTAGACGTTACCCGGTAACCTGACAGCCAGTTTTTTACTTACCCTGTAACCTGACAGCCAGTTGGACGGTCCCGTCCAGACTGACCCGCCTGTCCTCCGTCCCAGACTCCACCCTACACACGTACGTCCCACTGTCAGACAGCCGCGCGTCTCGGAGCTGCAGAGATCCTGACGCAACAACAATCGTGTGTAAGATGCTGGGATAGGACTTTCTACTGGGATGGAATTTCTTTAAGCGTATTTTACTTGCCTTAGAGACTTCGAAGTGTTTAACGTGTTACATCATAATTTGTTACACCATAATTCATAAATGTTTGTTCTGTTTTAAAAGCAAATGTATGACGTAGTAGTTGTTTTAGTTGTTTTGCTACAAAGTTTGCAAGTAGAAACCAAATAAATTACTGGGGATGGACCACTAGATATAACATTAGTGCCCACGTACCTTCCCCCGAGTGCCTCCCGGTCACACCTACAGCGCTGACCCGGTCACAGTCGCCCCGCTCCCCGGCCAGACACGTGGCCGTGCTGTAGCTGTAGTCTAGCACGGGGACGAGCTCTCCGCTGGTCTGGTTCAGCTGGAACCAGCGCGTCTCCGTCTCGTACGGGAAGACGCTCCAGTGTCTGCAGGGGAGGGTGACGGTCTGTCCCAGCAGTCCGTACACCGGCGACATGGTCTGCACCTGGAGCGGCTCTCCTGTGGACAGACACGGTATATACTAGTATCATTGATTGGTATTAGGAAAAGTATTGGGATAAAGTATTGTAAAAAACGTACGAAAATACCCGCTGATAACATGGTTAGTAACTAAGTGTATATTTTTGAGCACGAAACCAGTTTAAATCGAAGCTAAGACATGTGCGATGTCTGATTCAGCTCATTAAAAAAATCCGCTTACGGATTTGGAGAAGGAACTCCTTTCAATCTATGGCAAGCAGATAGAAGCTAATGAGGTTATTTGTAATGACCTCACCTGGTTTGAAGACCCGGACCTGTCTGGTGGCCTCGCCCTGCCCGAACACATTCCTGGCGTGGCAGGAGTACTCCCCGCTGTCCTCCATGGAGATGTTCTTCAGCACCAGCCTCCCGCTGCCGGAGATCGGCACTTCTACAGGGATGGTCCGGGCTCTTCTCGGGAGTGGCCGACCTGGGAACACACAACACATCATGATCATTGGGATAAGATCAGGGGCCCATCCACTCCAGGTACGCGGTTTGAAGGGATCAAACATATCCGTCTAGTCCTACACAGTTTGTTCTTATTCTAAACCTTATGGGTGCGTTATGTGAGACAACGTCAAAGGTAGCCATAAACTTTTAACTCAAAGCAGACGGAGGCCTGTACAGACTTCTGACAACCTCTGACCCATAAGATGGAATCACGTCTCCGCAAAGTCACATGCACGAGGAACCATCCAGGAAGACAAAACTGTAATAACGTGTAGTTTCCTTAGTCTAAGTTCAAAGAAGAATGTAGTAATAAGACGTTACCGTCACGTCTCCACGTGATAGTTGCTGTGGGAACGATGTGATAGCCAACGCCCTGTCTGGTCTCCGCCGTGCCACAGCGCAGGCGCAGGTCGGTCCCCTCGTAGAACGCCTCATTGCGCCAGTTCCCGTCACGGTCGATCAGGAAGGCTTTTGTCGGCGCCTCTATATAAAATACGCACAGAACTTGAACGAAAGAATTTGAACGAAACTCTAAGGCATGCTGCTACTACGTATACAAGAACAAAGCCGAGGAGCTTTTGAAGATCTAGCTCGAATTTCGCGTACGTTGAAGACGGTTAGACATACAGGTAAACAATATTCAAAGACAAATCAAACTCTACTACTGGATATGAATGGTAATCTCCGTAATTTATCCAGTAGTAGAGTTTTGATTTGTCTTTGGGCAATTTCGCTTAGTCGAGATACGATTTTAAGCAACACGCGAGAGTTTGTTTTTGTTCAACGTAATAGTGCTGTTGACAAACAATATACAGAAGCGTGCCTGTACGATTTACTACCTACAACTAGGCCCCCTTTTAGTCCCCTTAAAGAGTTTGTAGGTTTGACCTGGACGGATACCCAAATTCTGTATGACTTTGACCTACTGGGGGTGACGATGAGTCCGTCCTGCTGCTTCCCCTTCCTCAGCACACAGCTGAAGTAGTCCGTGACGTCAGGGTCCACCCGGGTGGGTAGCGGCACCGAGATGACGGCACTGATATCCTTCCGCCCGTTCTTGTGCACGAGCACGGTGTAGTCACTGGCATCTATCCTGGAGGAGGGGATGGGGTAGCACAAACGCCATGTACTCATCTAATATATTGTGTGTTCAGGGATTTCACTGTGAAGACGTTCATAGTAACAATTGGTATCATTATGCAAAAGTATGGTGTAAGAGGTGGATTGTATTCATTTGTTCAAGATGTTGCCTATATATTTTCGTGATAGCCAAGGTCGTCTCAATTTAAATCAAACAAAATTAATATTGAGCAAAGTGACAGATGGTCAACGATAAAGCACATCAAATCTACTATTGTTCACGAAGATTTTTCGTATTGTGTAGGCTAAAGTTAAGATTCTGATATCGTTGGTCCTGGTGTTTCAACAATATATCACTGTTTCCACTCTTTAGAAAAGTAACAAAGAGACGGAAGTATTTGTAGACGGTATTCCGGAAACCGTGGAGCTGGTGTGCACACTAGTGACTGGACAAGAAATAACTGATGGTCCTATGAGCGAAAATAAACTCTTTATGATTCCTATACCGTACCAAAATGAACCTTAAAGGGAATAGAAAATCATGGACACTAGTACTACCCAGAGGTAATTGGTCAGAATTGAATGGAATTGTTACTTAGGCTAGAATTCTGGCAACAAGAAAGTGGCTTTGTACAGGCAACTACATGGTGTTTTTTTGCAATGTCTTCCTAGCCTTCTAATTCCGACAATATAACAAAAAAATTGTTCTCACTTTGGTCCGTCCGATAACTGGCTGTTCCTGTGCCAGCTGAGGCGGGCCTCCCCGCGCACGCGCGCTACGGTGCAGTTCAGCGTCAGGATGTGCATGATGGGATCGTAGTAATCCCGGATCGTCTGCCTCGGTCTCAAACCACCTGCCAATAACAGAACCAAACAGTAAACAAGCAGTAAACATGATATACGGCATTAATATTTGTCTTAGAATTAAGAAACGTTCTGTCTGTTAGAATTACTCATTGTATTGATTCTAGGCGGTATGCCTACTTACTCTCCAAGCAGAGGTTTGGTTTTTGGCTTATTTTGGGCATGTTTTATCGGATTTTTATCGGGCTTTTTTTTGCACTGGTGTTGGGTTGGCGTAGAAAAAAAAGTATCGGTGCAAAAAAGCAAGCCATAAAACAACAGCCTAAAAACACGCCAAAAATAAGCCAAACCCAAACCTCTGCTTGGAGAATAATGCCTACTGGCCATTCAGTGCCTTTCCATTAGATTGATTTCAACAGCAGACGTTTTTGTCAGGACCACCATCCGTAACTAAACCTAATGTAGCAAATGATTACTTCCCCCCCACACACCACATGGCGACATGTGTAGCGGATAATTACAACACCAGCAGGAGTTACACTGCTAACGAGGCTGTCAATGGGGCAGTTTGGACTTAACTTAACACCGGCAGAGCAGTAAAACATCTGGACGGAAGAAGGGAAGCAGATGTTTTGCCAATTGACGACAGACCTAATGTTGCAAATGATTATGCCACACTGTCCTGTAATTGATATGCACCAATAAATTGGTTAACTGTGTCAGCTACTTGCGGCAAGGCAATATTGTTTGTAGGTCTTCGTCGTTTTCCATATTTTTGCCTCTGATGTTATAATTTATATTCTGGAAATTTGATGAATATTGGTGTGTAACTCTGACACGCGAACATTAGATGAACAACGCTGAAATATTCAGCCATCTCGATATTTATAAGAAGTGCAGGTATCCATGCCTGAAAAGCGCTACCTGTCTCAATTGTGACCTTTCTGTGACCGTAGGTACTCTATCTGTATGTTCCACCGGGTTGGGCGGGGTCATCATCCGATAAAAACAGGATAATTTTTGCGGCATATACCGGTAAAATGGTTGCATTACCTCGTTACACATAAAACACTATTAGACATATAAGTCGTGGGTACCGGTAGTAACCATCGCTTTCAGTAGTTACTGTAATAAAAGTAGAATATGACCAGGTGCGGTATTCACTGTAATTATTTAATTATTTTAATCATACCGTAAGAGAATTACAAGCATACATGTAGTAGAACAGGGGTTAGTACAGTCTTACTGTCTTAAAGCAACTTGAAATAAGATAATCTTACATGTAAAATAATGCACCCCTCCCCAGTCTCTTGATGTGGATAAACAGATCGTTAAAGTGTATGAATAAGTAAAAACTCGGCCAAACATGTAATAGTTATTCTTCATTCAGATGAACCATTACCCTAGAATCTGAAGCTGCTATAATAGCCAGGTCCTAAGTAGCAACATGGGAGTCATGACGATAAGAATGGGATGATGTAAGACATCCCAGGAGGAGACTTAAAGTCTACATTTGTTGACTAAGTCTCCTTGCTTAAGTTCAAACATGTCGATTCTGTTTTGCAATTTTTTTGCTGTTTTTTTGCTTGTCCCAGGCTATTAAAGTTGACGTAGATGTTGAACAGCAACACACATCCAGATTTCTTTAATAGGCGAACTTCTATATAAAGCTGCTTCAGTAAGGTTGCTATCTAAATCATCGTCGCTACATCTCAATCACCAATGATAAATATATGCACCGTGCCTTAAATTAGTTTACTGTTGGGGAAAATATAATGAAATTGCCACAATGCAACTTTGTAACACAATGCATATAAACGTGAATGTGGATATCACCTTTATCCCCATTAGAAGCAGCTCTGCTATTCATGCTCACACCAATGATGAGCTTATACTATAAGCTTGGAAGCAGCCGATGTCATGTACCATATGATACATAATGCATAGCAACACCATGATATGGAATCTATCAAATGCGAATACTCTCGCAGCTAGGAGATAGTAGCTGTGAAAAGGGACCCTCATGTGAACTTGCCTTGGAAATTAGATATAGGAATAACCATTTATGTCACTGACAAAATTCGCCACCCATGACGAGGACCCAGACCTTGACCGGGCCTATAATTAGAAAGTTGGAAAACGCTATAAAAAGCTTCGTACGGCAATAACAGTATGGCAAACCACATTGTGTTATCTAGCTAGAACGTCATACGATTGTAACGTACGCACTGATACATACTGAAAGAAAAATGGCGTTAACATATTGATATGCCGTCGCTGTAAGAGTGATTAACATGTATATTATGTACATTACATATTCATACATGCCATTTTTGCTTGTTTTCATTGTAGGTACACGGCTTTTCTTGTTGATATTACAGTAGAACTATGTGCTAAACATAGTCCCTACAGGCATAATGGACACCTGGGCTCCATAATCTTTTATCCTCTTTTCATGAGGTATTACTTGAAAGTTCTTCCCGCAAGGAAAATCTCATTTCATTTTGGTACCGTGGAGCCCATCAACTGTACAAATTGCCTCACATTCCTGATAACCCCTTAAAAGCTCGTTTAGGTCTCTAAGCTCCCCTTTGTTGTAAATCCTCCATTTCAAATTATCTGCGTAAAACCTACCAAGAAGATTATTCGACTTCGTAGGACGTCGTCGTAAACTACATCAGTTATACTCATTTATGCACCTCCCAAAACTAGACGTTATTTTGGCGTTTTTGGATTCTTCCATTTGTGGACCTACAAATAGGTTTATAATCTGCCGTATGAATCTCCATCAGTTTGACAAGGCTTTAGGCGCTTTACACATGAAGGATGCCCTGAGGAATACGACAGGAAGACTTGTTTAGCTCTCAGCATATTTCATCCTCTAGTCGATTGTTAGCCTGATGGCGGGGTGCTGGCTTAGGCAGATGAAAAGGGAGATGATGATAAATAACATACCATAGTATTCAGATATTCAATGTTACAGAATATATCAATATAATTGAGTACATGTATATAAGAATGACGACCATCTCAGAAATAGTCACAACCCCTCACTTAACAATTGTGCTTACAAACACTGACACGGACAAGACCATTGCTCTAGATGTGTAACAGTTTGCTAATATTTATGTTGTGCTAAATGCGTGTCTATTAATGCCGTAACGTTTTCCTCCTTCTTATTGATTTTACCGGGTTGGCATCTAAAATAACATGACCCTATCCGTCAGTCTAAGCGCTCTTCGCAAACAGTTTACAAGGAAAAACCAACCCTCCAAATATTTAGTGTTTCAATATTGTTAAACTGAAGGATTCGGTGCCCAGGGCGACGCAATAAGGAAGTACTCCCCACTGTGGCTTCTCCAGCAGCTTGAATAGTGAATTGACCCCCATAATCAAATAAACTAATAAACATCCTAGACGGTCCAGCCACCGAAAACAATGGCAGGGACAGATTAGCATAATAACTGTCACTCTTTTTGAACAAATTCAAATGTTTTTTTTCTATACTGGTTTTCAAAATAACAATATCAAACCATGCAGACTGATCTGGATAGCTGTAACTGAGTCACATAAATCAAGAAAATATTATCTGCAACTTTCAGTTTCTGGAAAACCAACTTTGTGGTCAAATTTCAATTTTCAAACTGCCTTGTCAACATTTCATCAAAGCGTCTAATTATAGATATCTAAAATGTCAACCTCACAACCGAATTAGCTTGGATAGTAAGTGAGTCTAGAAATATGGGTTGCAATTGTGGTGTCAATTTGGTAGTATGAGAAAGCAGCACTAGTATACAATAGTAGACTGGAGCTCTGTTAGAACTATTCAAGTAACTGCCAGCCAATCTATAACACCACCAAACCTTGGCAAGGCAGTACAGTGTTGTAATTACTTTATATTCTGGGTTAGGTGAGGCTATCTTCTTTATGTACAACAGACTGTACATGTACATAAATTCCTTATCTGCTGTCAATATGTTACAAACACAAAGTGTCTTCAAGAGCCCTCTGCCCATGTTACCACCACGGTAGTCAGGGACAGAATGGTGCCTGGTAGTTTACGTTACCCGAATTTATTGGGTGCTTATATAGTGCAAGC